CTCCGCTTAGAGCCGGGGTATCAATTGTCTCTTGACAGACGAACAGATGCCCTGAGACACGGCTGTCTGATTTTGATGATTCTGGCATTTATTCCAGCTCTCCCAAAATTTGAGTAGACTTCCAGTCAGTCACAGCAGGTACAGGTAATAAATGATGTGAAAGTGATGAGTGTCCTCTTGATTCAAGAATTATCCCCTGGCAAACATATAGTGGTGAGTCTCCCCTAGTGACACTCAGGGCGCCATGTCGTTCCGAGTGTTAGCAACACGTAACAACAACCCATCTCCCCAAAATGACAATTTTTTACGTACGTTCCAACGGAAGACCCCAATTCTATTGTTCTCCCTGACCTGAGGTCACGCACCGTCTTCCCAGATACAAGGTCTATTTTTAGAACATACATACAGATACCAGGTACTCAATTTAGAACAACGGAGCGCCCTCTCGTGATATAAATACAATTTACCAACGAGTTCAATAGTCAAATGTGAACGTACTTAATACTGAAACTTATTTGTTGCTGAAACCCTTCCACTACAGATGACAATAGTGCGTTGAAGAAAGCACCTTTAATGTCACGTGCTTTATCAATGGAAACGTCATCATCTCGTCACGTCAATGTCAGTGTTGTAGTTTATAACACCAGAAGACCAGACAAAATTAAAGCAGATACAAGACCATGCACAAGACCAGTCACAAGTAACAGGGTGATTAATTACCAATATTCGTCAAAGAACTTCCCTTTCAAGATGTCTGCAAGGTTTGAATCCAATCGGACATGCACTTAAGGAGATATAGTTCTTTGACAAGTGCACCTTTGATGTCACGTGACTTGTCACACGATGACGTCATCACCACATGAGGTCAATTATCCTACTAACACATCTCTTCCTAGCTACCTAAAGGTTTCAGCCCAATGGAATATATACAATAGAAATTAACATTGGGTTCACCTCCCCACAACAAAGCACGGGGTAGGATTTGAAGGATTTAAAAAAAAATGTTCTCTTGGTGTTCCATACAAAGTGATCTGACTTCAGCGCCACGCGTTTTGAAAGGAGTCAGCCACAGCCATGAGTATGCCTGGTTGTAGGCCAGAAAATAAACAGTGATAAATAATTGAACTTAAAAAAATCGGTCGATGACTTTTGAAGACTTTTTTAAAGGAAGGTCACCCCTTACAAGTAGTTGTTTATGCCCCTCGCAAGTTTAAAATATCGATACCTACACTTCTCTAAAAAAAGACCGTTTTGTGGCACCGATTTATCTTCCAAATCTCTCTCAGACACAAGCTGGTATTCTTTTTGCTCGCCTAAGCGTGTTGTTTCTACAAATCTTCAAGTTAATGGGCCACAAAATGCTCTATTTCAAAGA